ATAGGTCAAATTTTCAGTCTCTCCACTCTAACAGTATCCTTGTGAGCGTGCCATCATAGCATAAGTAAACCATCGATCTTCACTGCTCCTAGTAAGAGGCATCTTGTGATCAGAGACAGAAGTGCGTGTCTGCGTTTGGCAGTACTTGAACTTTTGAAAGTTGAAACGCAGTTTTAGGGCACGCTGGTGTGTGCATACGCAAGCACAATGATATCACTCCCCAGGCAGCACGCGTTTCTGCTGCTGGCAGGCTGCACTCGGTCTGAGCTCCTCTTCCATCTGCTTCATCCTTGGAGCTGACTGCTGTGGCCACTTACAGGGTGATTTTGGCAGCAGCAGGGTACAGATGCCCAGCTTGGGAATGAGTTTTTGAAGCAGTGGCATCTGAGTGTCAGCTTGTCTTCCCAGCTGGTCTCTTCGGCGGTCGCGTCTGGCTAGACTTCTGGCTCTGCTGGCAACTCAAAAGTTGGGGTCAGTCTTTGCGGCTTACTGGCCTTCCCAGAAGAGCACTTGTCTATGATTAGTGCCTCTGAAGGAGCTAAAAGCCATCTTCGTATATAACTTTAAAAGTAAAAATCACTCCAGAAAATCTCATGAAATTCACATAAAAACCTCTATAAAATGACATTTAATAATGTGATAAGGAGGGATTTCCATTCTCATCGAAAATTTCTGCTCTGCTCTACTAGTGTATGGTGGATTTTTTCTTCATTGCAAAATAAAGGTTCATGAAGTCTGGAATAATTTTCAGAAGATATACCAGAATGTGCCTAAAATTACTCCTTTACAGGGCATACTTTTTAATATATCGGTGAAACAGTCACCATCATTCTTCTAGCAGATAGATCAAAAAGCACTTCAGTCACAACACCTCCACCTCTTACAGCTCTCAGCAATGAAGAGGAACTGAAAATTACTGCTTCTTTCTCCAAACAGGACAGAAATGAAACACTTTGTTCTAATCTGGGGATTTTTGTTATAGGAAGGGGAATCCCTGCAGGCAGATATATGTCCTTCCCTCCTCTGTTCCCCCTGTGAATATATAAATAGGGGAAATAAAAAATTCTCCAGGGTGTGGAAAACCCAAATTAGCCAAATACATTGCCTTTTGTTTTTTCTTCTCTCTTGCTTTGCTACCAATTCTGAATTGCTACCTGAAGACTAATTTTTAAATTTACTATTTTCTCATGCCTCTGACAGCACTGGTGGAAACAGAGAATAGCTAATCCCTCGGGGATCTCACAAATTCCCTTTCAGTGGTCATGTTTGTATTCAGTGGGAGTTTGATACTTAGCTGAAAATTAAAATAT